GGTGCTTGAATGTTGTCAGTATTTTATATTACGTCACAGATGCAGAAGGGTGAAGAAACGGATTAATTTATTCGCTAAAAAATAATAAACTTTTAAAGAAATTGTTACAATTAAATTTATTAAAGCTTATATGACTGTATTTTTTAAATCTTAATTGATAAAGTTGCAGTAGCATGAAACTAGAGTTACTTTAAGAACGTAATGGAATAGAATTCTGTACCTGTTTATTAGTAATTGATGGTTATTTACTATTTCCCTCGATAAGACATTAAAGCAATGCTTCTTCTAACAGGATAATGATTTTATTGTACATGACGGGAGTGAGAATTAGAACTAAAACATTTAAAGACATTTTTTTTGTAAATCAGCGGTTTCAAAATTTTTTATGTTTAAATAAAAAATACATATTGTTTAAAATATAGTTGCAAAATCTTCTCTTGAATTATTCATATTCATTTAATTATTAGTTTACCTGTAAAAAATGTTATTGAATTGACGAGTGTTTGTTGACGATTTCAATAATAAATTCTCTGGAAAATTCTCTTCATCCAAATATTGTCCATTAATTGTCTCGAGAAACGTTTTTCTACTGGAATTACTTTTCTCATTAAGGTCTTCGATCCTCAAAATTCTATACATGTAGTTATTTTCTTTTAATCTTCCCCTCACAAAGTGATGAATAATTTTTCCATTGAGTTATCATCAATTGCTGGCTAACAATTAAAGTTTCTAGATTTGTTAAATATTCATGTAGCAACTTGTAACTGGACAAAAAATTTGACCATTGTACAAGGCATACAAGAATGTAAATCTATTTTTGAAATCAATTATTAGTTTTCTTTTAATGTAATCAGAAATTTGCATTGTGTCACATGTACAGGCAGGAAATGTAGTGGAATGTTTTTTGAACTGTAAAATTTAAATTTGAAAAATAAATTTCGGAATAAATAAATTGTAAATGTACAAATAGATATTTCAAATGTTTAATTTTGGATTTAAAAACTTTTTGAAGTAGAATAAAAAAATATTCAGAACTTACAAATCATTTTTATTGAATACCAATCTTACCTGGAACAATTAAACTGCTTTGGCAAGCGTCAATTGAAACGTTCTATTATGATTTCCGAAAAAATTTTAAAAAATAAAGTTCATCATTGATTGATTTTTGTGTCTGCTTTATATACAAATTCCAAGACTTCTGCAAATGTTGTCCACGGTTGTCATTGAGATGCAGATGCAGGAAAGAAATTAAATTGTATAATCGGAACCCTAAAAAAGAAAGTCAAGTATCCAAGTATTGTCCATTGATACTCTCGAGCAATATTTTTCTACGAGAATTACTTTCTTCATTAAGTGATGATGAACGATTTTTGTTGCAGCTCAAGTGAAGATATTTCATTTCAATGAAATGTAAAAATTTCTAATCTGAAAAAATAAGCTTGTTAGGCGGTTTTAAAAATTTTAAATTATATATTTTAAAATTGTCTGTAATGCTAAATTTAAAAAATTTTATTACCATGGTGAGATAAAAACATATACCTGTTCATTAGTAATTGGAAGACATTTTTTTCCTTATTGATAACGCCGATTTGTTCGCAGAATGATGTGGAGTCGATCTTGCATGTCTATAATGGGAAATTAAGAAAAAAATATTATTTACATCTGGTGAATATTTTATATTTATCACAAAAAAATTTTCATCATTTGCAATTTATTTTTAATAATTTTTCATTTTACCTGAAATAAGTCAAAATTGATTGATCGTTTTCATGATCCATTAAAGACTTCAATATCCTCAAAATTTTTTGCATAAAACTAATTTCCTTTAATCTTTTAAATATTTTACCATTCAAATTTATATAATTTTAAAAAAGTACATTATGTTTGATTTAGAAAGTGTTTTATTGTGACTTCTACTTAAAAAGTTTAAAAAGAGAACTCAGTGGAAAAAAAAGTTATCTTTCAAAGAACGTTCATAAAATGTTTTTAAAACGTTTTTAGAACGTGTGGGATAGGTTAAAGGAATTGAAATTATACACGAAATATAAATAAGGTACAACAATATATTTAACAGTTTATTATAAAAGTTGTAGGTTATTAAACAAGTTAAATTTAACTTTGGATTTTTTAACGAGTGAAATGTTCGGATAAATTGTGCGAATGACGAAGGGCACTACGTGGTGGACAAATTCGAACTGAGTGTCTTGTACATAAGGTACACCCTTCTTATAGTCTAAAACTCATTAAAAATCAATTAAAAGTAAATGAGAAATAAGACATCTCATTTACTTACTTTGCAATACTAGAGCGACACATTTAAAAACCTATTAAGTAGTCTAGTCTACTAGACTACAATTGCGAAGCATTGAATTCTACCCTAAATAATGAATTGTTAAAAATACATTAAAATGTGATTGACAATTTGTGTAGTGTGTAAATGTTGTATGAGAATGTTACATATAATATCAAATTTAAAAATACAATTTTTAAATACAAATATTGCGCTACCGCTACAGTACCCCCCTGCTAGTGGTTAACGATTATGAAAAACCACCCTGCAGGCGATCAGGGAAGCGCACGCGTCTGCCAGATCTTGTAGAGTGTGGTACCAAAAATTCCTCTTGTTCTGGTGTTGGTACCTGTTTCGAAGGTGCAGCTTCCTGGCTGCTGGTATCTGGAGATAACAAAACAATGTCCTCAGGATCATTAGCCAAAACGTAAGCTGGCTTTAGGCGATCTATCGAGACATTTACTTCGCGACCATTGATGCTGACGAGAAAGGTCTTTTCGAACCTTTTTATGACCCTGAAGGGACCATCGTATGGTTGCTGCAGTGGTTGTTTTGGTGAATCGTGTCTGACAAGAACTTGCTCGGTTGTTGCAAGATCCTTGAAGACAAATACTCTCTTGGTTCCATGACGAGATCCTTTAGACGGCTTGACGTTGCGTAGTTGTTGGCGAAGCACAACAACAAAATCAGCTGGGTTGTTAGTGTCGTCACTGCTGCTGCCACCATTTTGACCAAGAAATTCACCAGGAAGGCAAAGGGACTGACCATACACTAAGTCAGCTGATGTTGCTTTAATGTCATCCTTCCACGCTGCTCGAATCCCAAGCAGCACAGTTGGTAGCACCTCAGTCCATCGGTTGGATTGATGGCACATGATCGCAGCTTTTAGCTGCCGATGGAGACGTTCCACCATTCCATTGGCGGATGGATGATAGGCAGTTGTCCGAAGGTGAGTGGTACCTAATAAACGATTAAGCTGTTTAAATAGGTGCGACTCGAACTGACGACCTTGATCGGTCGTGATCCTCAATGGAGTTCCAAATCGAGCAACCCAGGTATTGTAGAAGGCTCGAGCGACAGTATCAGCTTCCTGGTTTTCCATTGGTACAGCTTCTGGCCACCTAGTGAATCGATCAACCATGGTAAGGCAGTATCGTTTTCCCTCAGAAGATGGCATGATGACGATGTCAAGGTGCACGTGCTCGAACCGAGTAGACGGTGATGCAAAGTTGCCTAAAGGTGATGAGACATGGCGTGAGACCTTTGACTTCTGGCACTCGATGCAGCTGCGGGCCCAATTTCTGCAATCAGTTTTTATCGACGGCCATACGTAACGCTGTGTTACGAGCTTAGCCGTAGATTTAACTCCAGGATGTGAGAGACTGTGGACGGTGTTGAAGGCTGCTTTCCGGAACTTTTCTGTGATGAATGGTCGTGCTGACCTAGTGGAAACATCACAGAAAATCGAGACATCTGCATCTGGAATCCGGATCAGCTTGAGCTGCAGGGCAGATTCTGTATCTTCCAGGATGACCTTCAACTCCTCGTCATCGCGTTGGGCGGCTGCTAGAGCTTCGTAGTCTAGGGCGGCTTCAACTTCAGAGATGCGTGAGAGAGCATCAGCTACAACGTTATCCTCGCCTGAGATGTGTCTGATGTCAGTTGTGAATTGGCTGATGAATTCAAGATGGCGGAACTGTCGAGGAGAACACTGATCATTCTTCTTCTGGAAGGCAAAAGTGATTGGTTTGTGATCAGTGTAGATGGTGAACGTTCGTCCTTCGACCATGTGCCTGAACTGCTTGATGGCCAAGTAAATGACAAGAAGCTCACGGTCGTAAGCTCCATACTTCCTTTCAGCTGGGCTTAATTTCTTGGAAAAGAAATTTAAAGGCTGCCAGCTGCCATTGATCAACTGTTGAAGAGATGCACCAACAGCAAAGTCGGAAGCATCGCAGAAGATGGCCAAGGGTGCCTCAGGATCAGGATGAGCGAGCATAGTAGCCTCAGCGAGGCTTTCCTTGCTTGCTTCAAAAGCCTCGACGGAGTCTGGTGTCCAAAGAACGGGAGCTTTTCCTTTTGTGTTCCCTAGTAGCAAGTCGTTGAGCGGTGCCTGGACCTTGGCAGCACCAGGTAGGAAACGCCTGTAAAAATTGAGCATCCCCAGGAACTGGCGCAGCTGCTTGACTGTTTCCGGGCGTGGAAAGGCACGAATAGCCTCAACTTTGTCAGGTAATGGTTTGGTACCTGCAGCAGAAACTAGGTAGCCGAGAAATTTGACCTCTGATTGGCCAAACACACACTTGGCTGGATTGACAACTACCCCATACTTCCTGAGTCTGTCGAAGATGAGTTCCAGGTGCTTCAGATGTTCCTCGGGTGTCGCAGATGCGATGAGGATGTCGTCAATGTAGACGTAACAGAAATCCAATCCTTGGAGCACTTCATCCATGAAGCGTTGAAACGTCTGCGCAGCATTTCGTAACCCAAAGGTCATGAATTTGAATTCGAAGAGTCCGAAGGGCGTGGTGATTGCGGTCTTCGGAACATCTTCCTCAGCGACTGGAATCTGGTTAAAGGCTCGAACAAGGTCAACTGTTGAAAATATGTTTTTACCTTGAAGAGCGTGCGAGAAATCCTGTATGTGCCTCATCGGATACCTATCAGGGTAGGTCCTCGCGTTGACGGCACGATAGTCGCCACATGGCCTTCATTCGTCCCCCTTCTTCGGGACCATGTGCAGCGGTGATGACCAGGAGGCCTTGGATGGTTGAGCGATCCCCAGCTTGACAAGCGTTGCAAAATCAGTTTTTGCGATCTTTAATTTGTCAGGTGCAAGTCGTCGTGGTTTTTGCGCGACTGGTGGTCCGGGCGTTGTCAGGATGTGATGTCTCGTAGAGTGCTGAACCGTTCTTGCAGCTCCATCTGGACGTGTTATCTCAGGATATCGTTGAAGGAGCTCGTGATATCGTGATGTCCCGGTGATGGTTTTGACACAGGGGACTGTACACTCAACTACTTCACCCTGGGAGGTAAGATGAGTTGCTTGGTCCAGGAGCCGTTGCTTCTGAAGGTCCACCAGGAGTCCATAGTGAGCCAGGAAGTCTGCACCGATGATAGGCTTCTCCACGTCGGCGATGACGAATCTCCACGTGAACTGACGGCGCAAACCTAAACTAAGGTTCAAAATTTGCGTTCCGTAAGTGGGGATGACGGTTCCATTGGCCGCGAAAAGTTCATAACTCGACTTTGCGCGTTGTTGAGGGAGTTGTATTCGCGGAAACACACATAGATCCGCACCTGTGTCAATGAGGAACCTGATTTTTGACGAGTCGTCTGTCACGAAAAGTCGGCGCGATTTTCCGGGAGAGATGTCGTCGGCCGACATTAACGACTTCCCGCATCGTTTCCCGCACTAGAAAAATTGCACGGCTTATCACATTTTTGCGCGTCATTGCCGAACTTCCAGTGGTACCAACACATGCCGCTGGATTGATGGTGGCGCCCCCTGGAATGCGAACGAGATTTAAATCGCGATTTGGACCGTGAGCGATCGCGACCACGCGACACTTGATTTACTTCCAGGGAAGCGAACTTCTGAAGCACAAGTGCAAGAGTTTGTTCTAGGCTGGCAAACCGGGCCTCGAATGACGTTCCAGCGGTGGAACTTGATTGCACTGCACTCGACATACCCGTGTGCGTTTCCGCGACGTTGCACAAACTTCCGTACGCGTCCGCGACGGAGTCCGCGATGTCGGCGCGTTTGTCCAGGTGAAGATCCTTGTGTGCTGCTAGCATGGCTTGCATGTGCTTCGGTAAACGTCCAAGCCACAGAGTCTGGAGCACATCCTCTGGAAAATTTGGTCCAGCCAGATTGCGGAGATGTCTTAGGAACTGCGTTGGCTTCCTGTCACCGAGCGGTTCGTTCTCCAGGAGGCGGCGCGTATTTTGCTCCTGAGAAGCGCCCATTCGCTTTATGAGCTCTGTTTTGAGCAGCTCAAATGTTCTCTCAGCTTTTGGTTTTAAGAGAACATCACGAATTTCCACTGTGTAACGCGGATCAAGAGCACTCAACGCGTGACCGAACTTTGTCGCGTCTTGCGTAATTCCCGCCGAATCAAAGCTGCTTTCTAATAGCAAAAACCAAAACTCAGAATCCGCGGGCAAGAAGGCTGGCATTTTAAACGCGACTCTACTGACGGAATCGTTGTTTTCAGTATTACCCGTCATTTTGATTCTTTTTTTTTTAACTTAGATAAATATTGTGACAAAAAAAAACCAAAGAAAAACTTTTAACACTGCACAAACTATTGTCACCAACAAGTCACTCTGTTGTCACTTATATTTTGTCAATATTGCCCCAGTGTTGGCACAGCGTCGGCACAACGTCGGCACTATGTAGTTGCGTGGTTGTCACAAGTTTGTTACGACGTTGACACTGTGTATTGACACTGTATAATGACAGTGTATATTGACAGTGTCAATTGGTAATGTCAATTGGTAGCGTTTGTTTTGACAGTGTGTATTGACACTGTAAATTATCACTGTATATTTTCACTGTATATTGTCACTGTATATTATCACTATTTTTAATAACAATTTGTCACTATATACTGTTTTTCACTTTTTAAACTTCCCACGATTAATATTTCGCGATCACGTCGGGGTCACCAATTTGTGGGATAGGTTAAAGGAATTGAAATTATACACGAAATATAAATAAGGTACAACAATATATTTAACAGTTTATTATAAAAGATGTAGGTTATTAAACAAGTTAAATTTAACTTTGGATTTTTTAACGAGTGAAATGTTCGGATAAATTGTGCGAATGACGAAGGGCACTACGTGGTGGACAAATTCGAACTGAGTGTCTTGTACATAAGGTACACCCTTCTTATAGTCTAAAACTCATTAAAAATCAATTAAAAGTAAATGAGAAATAAGACATCTCATTTACTTACTTTGCAATACTAGAGCGACACATTTAAAAACCTATTAAGTAGTCTAGTCTACTAGACTACAATTGCGAAGCATTGGATTCTACCCTAAATAATGAATTGTTAAAAATACATTAAAATGTGATTGACAATTTGTGTAGTGTGTAAATGTTGTATGAGAATGTTACATATAATATCAAATTTAAAAATACAATTTTTAAATACAAATATTGCGCTACCGCTACAAACGTAATTCTAATTTTACCTGTAAAAAATACAATTGAAGTGACGAATTCTATTTGCCGATTCCAAATAATTTATTTATTTATTTATTTAGTTAACGGGACAAGCCCTTTCGTACATAGGTACTCTTAAAACTAAGTATAATTTCAATTTATTAATATTAAGCTAATTAATTTATAGCTAGGTAGGAACATTATTAATATGATTCAATATTAATCTACGCAATAATAAGGTGAATCTGGAATACCTGTCATCAAAAAAATCAATATCATTTGCAACTAAATTTGCCTCTCTACTAAGCCTATTATTCAAAGCATTATTACCATAATTAGTTCTGTGATAAGTAACAGAAAAAAGAGAATTATATCTCCTCGACCTTCCAGGAACTGACAAATTAACCATTGAAAGTAGAGTAGGACAACTAATCATACCATTTACAAGTCTATAAAGAAAAATCAAGTCAGCATAAAGAAAACGCGAAGAGATCATAGGCATGTTAAGTATTGAACGCAAGTTATCATAGTCATGTGAATGAGCATCATATGGTATAGCAAGCTGTCTTGCTGCAAATCTGAGAAATCTGTTTTGAATACGTTCAAGTCTAATAATATTATATACATAAATTGGTGACCAGATAACTACAGCATATTCAACTATCGTTCTAACAAGCGTCAAGTATAACACTCTCAATGTCGCAGAATTATAGAAAACCGACGCATTTCTCATGACGAACCCCAGAGATCTTAAAGCTCTTGAGATCACTTCTGATATATGTTCATTATACGAGAGATCACTACACAATAGTACTCCCAAATCTCTTACTTTTGTTACTCTGATCAATTCTTCACCAGCAAGAGTATAGTGATATATTAACATACTTCTCTTTGAGAATGATATTATATTGCTCTTCTTAATATTAATAGTCATAAGATTACGGTCACACCAATCAGACAGGCGATTCAAATCAGACTGAAGATCCGAAGAATCCTGACATGGTTGGGAAGGACCTATAATCCTATAACATTTGAGATCATCTGCATACAATAGAAATAATGAGTGAACAAAAACAGAATTTATGTCATTCATAAATAAAACAAAGAGAAGTGGGCCAAGATTAGATCCCTGAGGCACGCCTGAGGTTGCAAAAAAAGGATCAGAATAATCATGTTTTACTTTAACTACTTGACACCTGTCAGAAAGATAGCTTCCTAGAAAAGAAACAAAGCTCTCACACACTCCCATGGCAACAAGCTTCCTCAATAATAATTTATGATCAACTTTGTCAAACGCCTTAGATAAATCAGCATAGACAACATCAATCTGTTTACCAATCTCTAGGTTGACAGTCAAAAAGTTAGTAAAAACTCCAAGGTTTGTTACCGTAGAGCGACCCCTCACAAACCCATGCTGCTCTTCAATAATAGTACTGGATACAGAAACATATAGAATATCAAAAATCAAACTTTCAAAAATTTTTGAAAAAATATTTCAAATCGTAATTGGTCTGTAATTAACAATATTATTTTTATTATCAGACTTGTAAACGGGAACAACAATACCCCTTTTCCATTCAGTCGGAAAGGAGGAAGAGTTTAATGATTTATTGTAAATAATAAACAAAGGTTCAATAAGCGAATAACCACTTGCTTTAATTAGAGAACCAGGAATTTTGTCAGGTCCTGGACCTTTATTTACATCAATATTCTTTATCTTATTAAAAATATCATTTCTAGAAATATACATATTTTGAAGATTAACTTCAAAATTATAATTAAAAGATTCATTGGAGATCTGAGGATTTGATATTGTATAAACCGATTTAAAATGTTTTGCAAAAAGATTAGAAACAGCCAATGGCGTATCTCCATTATCATCTCCAAGAAACATATGATCAGGTATAAAATTTTCACATCTAGATGAATTAACGTAATTCCAGAACACCTTAGGATTAACAGTAATAGAATTTTCAGTATTAATCACAAAATCATTATAACAAATTCTTGATAATTTTTTGCATTCGGATCTCAAATTTGAAAAGTTTAAATAATTGATGTCATTTTTGTTTTTTACATAATTTAAATGCGCAATTTTTTTTTCGAGAACTAATCTTTTTAACTCCCTAGTGTACCATGGCGGAAAATGTGAGGTCCTTAAAAATTTTAAAGGCACATAAATATTGAAAATTTCATATAAATAATTATAAAAATTGCTAACAGACTCATCAACATTTTCAGCGTCAAGTAACTCACTCCAATTAGTAGCATTCAACGTTGAGACAATACCAGCAATATTTGCATTTTTAAAATCATACACAAGGTTTCCCGATGACGATTCAGGATGAGCGGCAGTAATTAATTGATCAAACAAAATATCCACCAAAAGTGGTGGATGATAACTATCAATAGGTAATATCGAATCATGAATCAAATTAACATAAAAAAAATCTGTATTAACAAAAACCAAGTCAATTCAAGCCTGTATAATCAATCATGTCAAAAAACAAAGCCGCAATCGAAAATTGATGGTAAGGGAGATCAAAATTAATATCACAAAGAGGAATATCACCCCCAACATTCCAGTTAATAAAAGGCACATTAAAATCACCAAGTATGCATAATATAGAATTAATATTGTGTTCGTAAATATTTTCAATTAGTTTACACACTTCAGAAAAAACAGATTGCGATGAGTTAGGGGGGATATAAAAACAACCAATAAATATTAATTTGTCACGCACTTTAAATTTAACAAATAAGTATTCAACAATTGAAGATTGAGAAACAAGTAAAGAACTTTTCAAATTATTCTTAACTGCCAACAAAACTCCACCACCCCTCGACTTCTCACTCGTAACACTACTCCTGTCAAAACGAAAAACGTCATAATTAATGAAGCCAAGCTCTTTTGAATAAATATTTTTATGTAGCCATGTTTCTGTAAGAGCAAAAGCACTATAAGAAAACATAGAGACACACTGTCTCAGTTCATGTAGTTTAGTACGCACACCTCTGACGTTTTGGTAGTAAACCTGTAGAAGAGGAGAAGAACGAGAAGAGGGGAAAACACAATAAGCATTGGGAGGGGTCACTTCTCCTTGCTGTCTCCTATCTGGATAGTCAGCGTGGCTGTTCGACGACGGGGAGGGATCTGAATTATAGTGGGGACACCACGACGGAACACCATTGAAATATTCATTTCTCCCTCTGCTCGCCGAGCTTCCAGCTGTGCCTTTACAGCCTTTATCTCCTCCCTCTGCATCACGGTCTTGTCTTGTGTCATCCACAGATTTGATAAAGTCTTTGAATGTACTTTGTCCTGCTTGGCAGCGGCAAATGTTTTCAGGATTGCTCGTGCCCTCACCTCCGTCACACACACCAATTTCACTGGGCGTGGTCTTCGAGAAACCTGCGTAAGAGAGCCAATTCTAAACGCCTTTACATTATGTAGGTCCGTGGCGGGAGTAAATGGTTTTAACATATTAACAACCAGATCACTAACATCGTTAGTAACCGAAATAGAACCAGAAGCAGCTGTAGTGGAGGATGTTTCTGGTAAATTAAATAAAACTAAATTTTTTTTCTTCTCCTCTCTATCAGCCATTTCATTTATGCAATGACTGGTTGAGGTTGTCAAATCAAAATCAGTATTCACACCAACCACAGGAGCATCAAGTTTCTCCTCCACAACAGCAATACGCTCTGACAAATTAGCAATCCTACCTTCTACTTTTGACAGCCTAGTCAACGCTTCATCAATTCTGCCACTCATCTCAGCAAAGTTCGACGACATAGTATTATAGTTGTTATTCAGTGATCTATAATTGCTATTGAGTGATGCATGATTATTATTAACAACAATAGTCAGATCACGAATATCTCTTAAAATGCCTTCAGAATTAGATGTTGATTGTGATGATTCTGCTGAAGGGGACAATGACCTTTGTCCACAACACTTTGAAAAGGCACCATTAGATAACACAGATAACTGTGCTGTACAACCAGGATGGTAAGGCAGATTACATCCTTTACACAAAATTGGAGGAACACG